AGGGGCATGAGTTTATGTTAACAACGCCAGAAAAATGTCATGTGTGAAACTGGAGTCATCATATAGTTAAGTTTATAATAGCCTTCTTCTGGTCTCCAATACCTAATTTTCTTCTTCACAGTGCAGAAAACTTAAGTGGGGGGGTTAATAGAAATTATAATCTCTGACCTTTCAAACATTTATATTGTCACTAATCTCTCTGATTACCCACAGGTGTGTTATTGATTTTCTTTTAATATTTTGATAGCACCACTGTCAGGACAGATTCCTTGGCAGTTCTTACCTTAATACTCCTCATTCACAGCTCATAGAAGCACTGTGCATGTTATGTCAACTGCCAAGTACGTGTCTTTCGGTTGTGCATCCAGATGTTGGGATGTGCTTTGAAATCCTCTGTAATCTTTGTGAGAGAGTAAGGCAAACGGTTCTTTCGTTACCTGACCTCGAAGCTACCGCTTTGATTTCTAAGCGATGGGTGCATATTGTTCCACTTCTGTTGTTAGATTTGTAAGCCATGGGGGCATAGGCGCATTCTCTCATAGCCAGTTTCCAATTTTGCAAAATTGATCTAGATTTTACCAGCTCACACTTTTTAAATAGATTTTATTGAGGTCATAACAGTTTATAAGATTGTGAAATTTCAGTTGTACATTATTGTGACTCACCATGTACATGTGCCCTTTAACTCTTATGCCTGCCCCTCAATCCCCTTTCCCTCTGGTAACCACTAGTCTGTTCTCTTTAACCATGTGTTTGTTTATCTTCCACAGATGAGTGAAATCATGCAGTGTTTGTCTTTGTCTGGCTTATTTTCACTTAACATTACACCCTCATGCTCCATCCATGTTGTTTCAAATGCGACAATCTTGTCCTTTTTAGTGGCTCAGTAATATTCCATTGTATATCTACACCACCTCTTCTTTATCCAGTCCTCAGATGAAGGACACTTGGGTTGCTTCCACATCTTGGCTATCGTGAATAAGGCTGCAATGAACATATGGGTGCATAATTCTCTTTGAATTGCTGATTTCAAGTTCTTTGGATAATGATCCAGGTGTGGAATAACTGGATCATATGGTATATCTATTTTTAATTTTTTGAGAAATCTCCATAGTGGCTGCACCAGTTTGCATTCCCACCACAGTGTATGAGGGTTTCCTTTTTCTCCACAACCTCTCCAACGTTTGTGGGTTTTTTTTGTCTTGGTAATTATAGCCATTCTGACAGGGGTAAGGTGACATCTCATTGTAGTTTTGATTTGCATTTCCCTCATAATTAGTGATGTTGAACATGTTTTCCATGTGCCTGTTGGCCATCTGTATATCTTCTTTGGAAAAACATCTGTTCATATCCTCTCTACATTTTTTGATCAGGTTGGCTTTTGTTGTTGAGTTCTATGAGTTGTTTCTACATTTTGGAAATTAACCCTTTGTCAGGTATATGATTTGCAAATATTTTCTCCAAGTTGGTGGGTTGTCTTTTTGTTTTGTGCATGGTTTCCTTTGCCTTGCGGAAACATTTTCGTTTGATATAGTCCCATTTGTTTACTTTTTCTTTTGTTTCCCTTGCCTGAGTAGACATGATGTTCAAAACGATGCTGCTGAGACCAATGTCAAAGAGCATACTGCTTGTATTTTCTTCTAGGAGTATTACAGTTTCAGGTCTTACATTCAGGTCTTTAATCCATTTTGAATTAATTTCTGTGTCTGGTGTTAGAAAATAGGCTAATTTCATTCTTTTGCATATGGCTGTCCAGTTTTCCCAACATCATTTATTGAAAGAACTTTCCTCTTTCCGTTGTGTGTTCTTGGCTCCATTGTCAAATATTAGCTATCTATAGGTCTTTGGTTTTATTTCTGAACTTTCAATTCTGTTCCACTGATCTGTGTGTGTGTGTGTGCTTGTGTGTATGTTTTGTGCCAGCACTATGCTGTCTTGATTCCCATAGCTTTGTAGTATATTTTGAAGTCAGGGATTGTGATATCTCCAGCTTTGTTCTTTTTTCTCAGGATTGTTTTGGCTACTTGGGGTCTTCTGTTGTTCCCTGTAAATTTTGGGATTCTTTGTTCTATTTCTGTGAAGAATGTCATTGGGATTCTGTTTGGGATTGCATTGAATCTGTAGATTCCTTTAGGTAATATGGCCATTTGAACTATGTTTATTCTTCCAATCCATGAGCATGGAATATCTTTCCATTTTTTTATATCTTCTTCAATCTTCTTTCAATACTGTCCTATAGTTTTAAGTGTAAAGGTCTTTCACCTCTTTGGTTAAATTTATTCTTTTACTTTATTCTTTTTTTGGGATATTAAATGGAATTGTATTCTTGACTTCTCTTTCTGCAAGTTCCTTCTTAGTATATAGAAATGGAACTGACGTCTGTAAGCTGATTTTGTATCCTGCAACTTTGATGTAGTTGTTGATTATTTCTTATAGTTTTGGGATGAATTCTTTAGGGTTTTCTATAGATAGGATCATGTCATTGGCAAACAGTGATAGTTTCACTTCTTCCTTTCCAGTTTGGATACCTTTCACTTCTCTTTCTTACTGAATTACTCTGGCTAAAATCTCCAGTACCATGTTGAATAGGAGTGGCGAGAGTGGGCACCCTTGTCTTGTTCCTTTATTGGAGGGATGGTTTTCAGTTTTTCACCATTAAGTACGATATTGGTTGTGGGTTTGTGGTATATGGCCTTTATTATGTTGAGATACTTTCCTTCTATACCAATTTTATTCACAGTATTTCTTTTTCGCAGGAAGATTGGCCCTGAGCTAACATCTGCCAATCCTCCTCTTTTTGCTGAAGAATGCTCGCCCTAAGCTCACATCCGTGCCCACATTCCTCTACTTTATAAGTGGGATGCCTACCACAGCATGGCTTGCCAAGCGCTGCCATGACTGCACCCGGGATCCAAACTCGCAAACCCCGGGCTGCCAAGGCAGAACGTGTGCACTTAACCACTGCGCCACTGGGCCAGCCCCAAAAGTTTTTATCATAAATAGATGTTTGGTCTTGTCAAATTCTTTCTCTATTGAGATGCTCATGTGATTTTTCTTCCTCATTTGGTCAATGTCATGTATCACATCGATTGACTTGCGGATGTTGAACCATCCTTTCGTCCCTGGTATAAATCCCACTTGATCATGGTGTATGATCTGTTTAATGTATTGCTGGTTTGATTTGTGAATATTTTTTGAGGATTTTTGCATTTATGTTCATCAGCAATATTGGCCTTTAATTTTTCTTCTTTGTGTTGTCCCTGTCTGGTTTTGGTATCAGGGTACTGTTGGCCTTAGGTGTCCTCAGGGGTTACCATTGAATTACAAAATGGATGGGAGGCCTCAGCAGGAACTGACTTCAGGATCTGGTGGTGTTTGAAGCTGGGCGCTAATTTTCTGGCTGTGGGTGTAGGGGCTGGTGCCGCATTCCAGGGAGAAAGGATGGCTCCCTGTGTTCTTGGGGGAAACCAGACCCAGGAAAGAGAAGAAATGATGGTTTCCTTTCACAATGGACTTGGGAGGGGAAACATTTAGCCCAGAAGAGATAGTCATGTTCCTGAGGTCACTGTAAGATGCTGTCTCTGTGTCCGCCAAGCAGAAAGCCCTCCTTCATGGTCTCACTTGATCCAAATGACACCAAGAAGGAGGAAACCATGAGATGCCCTTCCAGGTGGGAGATCTGAGAGGTTGGAGACTGTGCCTGGGAGGCTCTGAAAGGCCTCACAGAGGTGACATTTGCTGTGAACAGAGTGCCAGATGAGAGGCACGCCTGCCTGTGTCTGGGAACAGTTTGAGTGTCAGGGAGAAGGCACCGCTCATGCAGAGACTCACAGGAAGAAGTGGGTCTGACCAGACAAGGTCAGAGAGGTGGCGGTGTGGCTAGAAGGAGCCTGAGAAAACAGAGGAGGTCAGATGGGGGCACGGCAGGGCCGGGTGGCAGGAACTGGCAGACTGTGCTTTTTTCTGTTGCTCTCTGACGACATTGCTCTAAGACATTCCACCTAGAAAGAACCAATCCTTAAGATCTCACAAAGTCTGTGTGCCAAGAATGGGGCACAGCTTAGCTGGGTGCCTCTGCCTCAAGGTCTCTGTGAAGCAGGGGCTGCGGCTCTATTGTGGCTCGACTCGGGGAGGGTTTGCTCCCAAGTTCACTCACATGTGTGTTGACAGGGTTTGTTTGGACTGAAAGTCTGAGTTCCTGCCTCTCTGTCGGCTGATCATTCCCTCCGTTCTCTCCTAGGGAGCCTCTTCACAGGGCAACTGAAAACATGCCCACTTGCTCCGCCAAGTTCCAGAGATATAAGAGCTGGAGAGAGAGAGATGGAAACAGGAGGAAGGAAAGAAGGAGGGGGATGAAGATTGTGAGTAAGAAGGAAGGCCAGGCTTTTTGTTATTAGCCCCGGGTTGTGTACCATCCCATCACCTTGGCTGCATTCTATTCAGAAGTCACTTCCTAATGACTGTGCGGTTCCACAAGGATGTGCACAGCAGGAGACAGTGAGCACCGGGAGCCGTGGTGGAGGCTGCCCTCCACATAGGCCAACATGAGGCACTTGGTTCTGACTCTAAGGGAAACAGGAGACCGTGGAATCTTTCATGCCAGTGACTGGCAATATCTGAACTTCCTCTAATTTCAACCTGTTAAAGGTGCAGATGTGGAAATGAGGCCCAGAGGGGCAGGGACTTGCTCAAGGTCCAAGAGCTGTGACACAGGCCTGTTTTAAGGAGTACTCCACACGATAGCCCACCCCTTCTTGTCATTCTTTCATCTCTAAGTGTGTGCATCAGACACACATGAAACCAGACCCCAGGTGTTGTCACTACTGTCTCTTCTAGGACAGCTGAGGACGTCCTGAGGGAGCTATTTCTGGCCTCGTCCCCATCGTGCAGGTTGAGGGATTGAGGAGGCCTTGCGAGGCACAATGGTGTTTCCAGGACACAGAGCTTCGAGGGAAAAAGAGGCGTGAACTCAGCTGAACTCAGCTTCCTCAAGCTGGAAGCCTGGTTCCATCTCAAGGTCCTGTGTGGGGCTCTGTGCTGGCTATTTGTGTACAGTTCTGGAGATGACATGGGCAAGGAGGGTGAGCAGCCAAGATCCCAGAGGGGTTTTGGGTTGGTGTGATTGAAGGAAGAGGCCCGGGTAATGGAAGCTTGAGGAAGTGACCTCACTTCCTTGGAGACAGACCCCAACAGAACTTAGCACACTGGTCTCCAGGCGCCCACATTCTAAGACAAAGTGTCCTACGGAGCTCACTTGAGTGGAGACGTTCAAGACAGCAGGATGCTCTGCTGTTGTCTCCCGACTTGTCGAGGCCGTGGCTTCAGGAAAGCCAAGAAACAGAGCCTTTTCAGTTGCTACACACATTGGCTTGGCCCTCACCTGCACCGCCTCTGGCCATTTGGCAGGAGGAGCCCTCAGGTAACACAGGGCAGGCCAACCGCCTTAGGCCAAAATGGGATCCCAACCCCACACCCCTCTGAGCCTCCTTGTGTGTCGGGCGGGGGGGAGTGGAGTGAGGGACGGCTGGGCTGAGGGGCGACCTATCCTGGGCAGGAGCCCTTCGCTTGGTGTTGAAACCTGGCAGTGCATCATGTTCCCAGCCTAGGTGGTGGCTAGCAGGATGGGAGAGTGGGTGCTGGGGACCAGCTCCTCTACGTATATGTCAGTCCTGAGCCCTCCAGGGGTCATCTCATTCCCTCCCTGGCTGGAGTTCTACACAGACACTGCTGGGTACCTGATCTCTGCTGGTGTTTCCTCCTGTGGCCAAGTCGAGGCAGGTGCCTGAGACATCCTGGCCCGGCTCTGGGGCACTGTCTTTGCAGAGCTGCACGCAGGAGGTGGTGGAAGAGCTGGCGGATGGCTTCGGGTACTCCATCTCCCTGGACAGGGGCCAACTGCACCGCACCATCATCAATAACCAGGGCTGCTCTGAGGTGAGAGTGGGCACGGAGGGGTCTTCCCACCCAGGCCCCTGAGATGACCAGGGCAGGCCCAGAATCCAACCTCAAACTGCTGTTCTCCTGGGACCCTAACAGGGCTGTTCCCCCTGAGTGTCCCACAGTCCCATTCCCAAAGGAATCTGGACTTCCGCTCCTCCCCACCAGCTGCATAGGAGGATAGGAGGGCACTCTTTGCATTTTCCTAGGAAGATTAGAGAAAAAGATGGCATTGCCACTTCCAACTAGGCCCTGAGTATGTTTGAATTTTGCCTTTTTTGGAAAATGGAACCTCGATAAGGAGGGTCTCCAAACTCCCTTTAATGTAAGAGAAATAACCAGCAGCGTGTTTTGGAAGTCAAAGGGATTCTCAGAGTGTGTCACTGCCTTGTACACTGTTTCCAGACTGGGGTGGGGTGGGGTGGCCACATAACATTTGCTTCCAGGTCGGGGCCCAATGAAGCCTCAGGCAGTTAGAGGGGATGTCCCTCAGCCCTCACTTTGGGCGGTTCTCAGCTCTGACCCACAGGACCTAGAGAAGCCACTTGGCATGCCTAAGCCTCTGTTCTCCTCTCTAGAGAGGGGTGTCTGTTGAGGATTCACTGGGCTGGTGCTCTGCACAGAGGGAGGTCTGTTGTCCCTCAGCGAGCAAATGGCCTCGAGGGAGATCAATGTGGAGTCCTTTGCAGGACCAAAGTCAGATTGTACTTTGAGAGCCCAGAACCTTGCTGAGTGTGGGAGCTCCTGTCTCTCCTGTCGCACATGTCTGGGAGGGGCTAGGAGTTCCTGGGTCAGCTGCGGACCTTGATAATCCTGGTGGTTTGCAGTGGTGGCCCTGACCCTGTGTCCTCCTCGTCCCTCCCAGAGTGAAGATGAGTCCACTCTGTCTGTCACTGAGGCCTGCAGGATGCGTGCCCTCCAGGCAGGCATGATGCAGAGGCTCGCAGAGTCTGTGCTGCCAGCCTTCCCCAGCAGAGTCCTCTGCAGTGTCATCACCTACCTCTGCAGCTACTCAGGCTCCAGCACAGCCCACCAGCTGCTGGACCAGCTGTTTCCCAGGTGACTGCCCACCTCCTCCTCAGCACAGTGGTGACTCTGCCCACTGCCAGCTGTGTGTCTTGCCTTGGGAATGTCACCGCATCTCTCTGAGCCTGAGTTGGCTCCTCTGAAACATGGGGTAGGAGAGAATGAACTTGCTAGGCTTCTCCCAGGGATGAATGGGATCAGCCTTCCAGGTGCTGCCCTGGTGCCCGGCTCTGCAGAGAGGGTGGTGGGCCATGCTGTGGTTGCTGGTGGTGATTATTTCTCTGTCCCCCATGGAAAGTAGTCTTCCTCTCCCTTCACTGGCTTGTGGCTTTTTGAGTTTGGAAAAGCACCTGGAGAGCACCCTGTCAAGGAGTTTGAGATGCCATCCAGCTGGTCCTGGTGCTTGTCCTTGGTGTAGCCACTTAGGGATCTCTAGG